TAAAACACAGAAAGTTGTTGCCAAACTAAGCCTCAAAAATCACCCCAGAGTGGATGAAAACATCCTCAACAGTACACACAGACACACATTTTAGCACTTTTTTTGATACATGTAATGACAGCGTGTTTGTATGATCATCTGTAACGAACACTAACAGGCTGCAGCTGGGTTGGCACTTTGCTATGTGTCTTCCTGACTTAACCCTGCTGATGTAAGAATGAACTATGATGCTTCAGTCTTCCTGTTTAACCCTTTCTAACCTCTGACCCTCTGTTTTTCTTCTCAATCTTAAGCCTGTTCCTTCAGTGGAAGAAAAGGTAAGTTTTGCATCTTTTTGAGTTTCAGCTAACTCTGTTCTTTCTCTCTGTTAATGCTACTGCTTTCTGTTTTAAACATGTAATGTTGTGTTTGTGTATGATTAGTAGATTAACTGTTAGAGGTGCACGGTAGATTATATTGGTGGCTGATATGTTGATATGATATGCTGGTAACTTAGAAATAGGGCTGCACATTATATTATTTCTAGATTGTTTTTTTTATCAATATCGTCCTTAAAAAATCTACAAAATAGGTAGTGGTACAAATGGCGGAATTCGCATTTATTACTACGAATCTGTTTGTTTTAGCCAATTTTTAAGTTTAAGGCTGGTTTATACTTCATGCGTCAAGTGATTGGCGTGACCCTCGGCACCTGCCTTGTGCGTAGCCGTGCATTTATAGTTTCTGCGCGCTGTTTGTGTTGCTCTGCGATAACATTTCCGAAACGCTAGCTGGCAATAGGTTTATATGTTGTCTGTGTCGAGTTTCTTCCTGGGTGTTTAGTTTTTTTCTGAACGCTACCTTGATGTACAAGTAGCAAAAACTTGCTAATTCGGAGGCAGGAACAGGTGGAAGTGCAACAACTTTAATCATAATGTAAACATAAAACAGAAGTTTCCATCTGGAGCTCCTTCACAGGATTTGACACTTGTAAACACTCGCTCCATCGGGCTCGCAGCTCTCAGCATCCGCTGGTTACAGAGCTTGCGCTACGCATCGTTGCAACGTGTAGTCATTTTTTGAGAAGTGCCCGTCGGCGTCAGCCACGGCAAGGACTATGTGACCACGCGAAAGCTGTGCCGGACCATACACGTGCGCTTGAGGCAGAAGTATAAATCAGCCTTTATAGTTACTTCAGATCATTTTTTGAAATGTAGATGTAATATCTAAACTTGTTTCCACCATAGAATATAAAAAGTAGTTTGACTTTTTACAGTGTTCAGCCTAAATGTGTACACTCCATTTTGAAAACTAATGTTTATCAATTTCTCAATTTCACAATGAATTTTAGTCACCGAAGATCTTTAGAAATGGAAAGATTATACATTTAATTTTTTTGCTAAATATTGCAAAAAAAAAATCAATAAATAATATTAAAATATAATAAAATTCAAACTACTTAATTTCAACAGTTTTATCTTTATCTTTTATTTTTTGTTTGTTATGATTTTTGCCATGAAAAAAATATATATTCCCTAACATATATTTTCCTCACAATTGCTAGATGCAAACATCAAATTGGGAGTTTACAAATTTAAAGATGAGAACTAGATTTTTAAAAAAGTCAAACTTGTGAGAGAAAGTTTAAAATTTTATATATAAAAATGTGTTTATCACAATGATATAAAAAATAGAGAAATAAGAATTATTATTGTACTACTATGATTTATTATTGATAAAGATGTTCATTGCTTACTATTAATTAATTAGCAGATTATCTGATTTGATAAATACTCTAAGTCATTTTTTTGATAAAGCAATTAGCTTTGTATGTTAATCATACTGTTTAGATGGCCTTTAAATGAAACAGTAAAGTTTCGAACACAGCAAGCTGTTAAGGTGTGGTCAGTTGCTGCTGTTGGGTGAAATTTTGCAGCCAGACATACAGTCATTTAAATAAGAATGCACACGAGTGGGTTTGCTTAAGTTCACACAAAAATGCCTAGTGTGAATGCTCATTTTGAAGTATTGCATGAGAAACGAGTAATATAAATGGCAAATTTAGTATAAAAATCAGTTCCCAAACCTTTTTTATACTCTCACTTGAGGTGATTTTGTGAAAAAGGATGAATGTGAATTAGAGCTGGGCTATAATTCGATATCGATATTTATCACAATAAAATTTTTTGATAATACAATAATGACAGCCAAAACATTTCACTAAATGTGTTAAATCAGCTGCACAAAGCGATTGACATACAGAAAATCTAGTAAAATTAATAGATATAAAGATTTTACGTTTATCGTGATAATTATCGATATCGACTGATATGAAAAAAAATATTGTGATAATTTTTTTTGCCATATCGCCCAGCTCTTATGTGAATAATAGGAGATGTAAACGCAATTGCCAAATGCATCCATGTGATAAATCAGCTCTCTCCATTATTCTTGCCTTGTTTACTGTTAGTTACTATGTTACCAATTCTACAATCATCAACTCTAACAAACGCATCTAATTTGTATTTAAGAGGGTTTTTTTGCTCACTTTAAAAACGTTTACTTCACATTAAGATTGAAACGGAAAGCTGAATGTTTTTTGAAAGTGACTTCTGCTACACTATTGACCAGTGTTCTGCTTCTAGTAGACCAGCATCCTGCAGATTTTAACTTTCCAGTAACTCTGAAAACCTTGTTTACCTGGTTTGGGTGTGTTGAGTTATAATTGGAGTTAAACTCTGCAAGACACTGGACTTTAAGGAACAGTGTTGGACACGTTACTCTGGATAATGGACTCCTGCAAAATTTCACCCATTATGTGACTACATCTTTTATTATTGGTACAGGCTGAGCATTATCAGCTCTAAACTGCTAGATGTTTTTTTCCTCAAGTTTGTAACAAATGCAGATTTTAAACTTTCCTGATTGGCTAAATTATCCCATTTTTGGCAAACTATGATGTCGAATCTACATTTGTTACAATCCTCAGTGTATGGTATGCTCTAGGGCTGCACAATATATCATTTCAGCATCAATATCGCAATGTGCAAATCTGTAATCACAGTCAAATCGCCAGGATCTGCAATGTCAAGTTGGGATTATAATTGACCGAAACCACAGTTCAAAACAACTGATTTGGGGAGTCAGTGCAGCGTTTAACTTTAAACTAATTTTAAATCAGATTTTTATTTGCAAGTGTTATTAAGACCTGTAACTAAGATATTTAAATGTTACATTTTTAAATTTTGTTTAATTGGTTTAATGGCGAATTTAAACCATTTGGGCACAAGAAAGGATAAAGTTTGCCACTTTAAGAAAGATTTACTGTTTAATTATACAGTTGAAGTCAGAATTATTAGCCCCCTGTTTATTTTTTCCCCCAATTTCTGTTCAATAAAAATAACATTTTTCCTTGCTCTGTTAAACATAATTTGGGAAACAATTAAAAAAGAAAAGAAAAATAAATAACACTCAAGTGGATTCTTATTTAAATGATTGGATATTTGGCTGCAAAATTTCACCCAACAGCAGCAACTGACCACACCTTTACAGTTTGCTGTGGTCAAATCTTTAGTTTTTCATTTTAACCCCATTGTATAATTAGCATACAGAGCTGCATGCTTTGTCAAAAGAAAAGCCCAAAATGGCTTAGCGCATTTATCAAATCAGATAATTAATTGAAAAAAAAATTGCGAATTAATTGAAAGTAAGCAAGGAATTTCTTTAATTCATATTTAAAATAAAGGGGGGCTTCAACTGTACAATAAAGACTGTGCAGTGATATTTTAGATTTGATGATTGAGTTTCTGTACCTCAACACTGTTAGACTCTAAATAACTAAAATCTATAAAGCACTGTTTAATAAAGGTTTATCTTTGTTCTATTGTTTTCATCGGTGCTTTAATTAGTTTGTTTTGTGTATAATTTATGCAGATGCACTCTCATACAAAAACACCCCAATCAATGTAAGATATGGGTTCTATCCAAAATAGTCATCTTGTGAAATTATATTCATGAGGGAATATAGGTGAAGTCATAATTATTCGCTCTCCTCTGTGTTTCTTTTTCAAATGTGTCCCAAATTATGTTTATCAGAGCAAGGTATTTTTCACAGTATTTCCTATAATATTTTTTCTTCTGGAGAAAGTCTAATACATTTTATTTGGCTAGAATAAAAGCAGTTTTAACTTTTTTAAAAACATTTTATGCACAATATTATTATCCTTTTTAAGCTATAATTTGTAATTGTCTACAGAACAAACCGCTGTTTTACAATAATTTGCCTAATTACACTTACTTGCCTAATTAATCTAGTTAAGCCTTTAAATTGCACTTTAAGTTGAATACTAGTCACTTGAAAAATATTATGTTCTCTAGTGCTGCACAATATATTGTTTTAGCATTGATTTCGAAAGGTGTGCATTCGCAATAGTCACATCGCAAAGATATGTGCAATCTGAATCATAGTTGACCGGGAGCCACAGAATTGTATTTAATTACTGTATTTATATGATTTAAGCAAAAAAAAAATTTCTAACTTAGAATTTTTGTCTTGTTTTTAGTCCAAATATCAACATGTCAAAGTGAAAACAAGATTATTTCACTTACCCCATTGGCACATTCCTTAAAACAAGCAAAAAAAAAAAAAAAACTCTTAATTTTCAATTATTTCTTCTGATGGTAAAAACTAAACAATTTTTTTTTATTTGGTCGAAGACTTATTCTCAATATTTGGACTAGAAACAAGACAAAAAGTAAGAAAAGCATTATTTTGCATAGTGATTATTGAATTTTTCTTCCTGAATACTGTTAAACTCCACAAAAACATTCAAATAGAGCTATTTAAACCATCTTCTGGTCTGAAAAAATAAAATATCAATTTCAAAAAATAAAATATCGCAAAATCAGATTTTTCTATTATCTTGCAGCCCTAATGTGTTGTCATCATGGCAAAGATAAAAGAAACCAGTTATTAGAAATGAGTTATTGAAACTATAATGTTTAGAAATGTGTTGAAAAGTATCTTCTTTCAAGTAAATAGAAATTGGGGGGAAAATATACAGGGTCTAATAATTCTGACTTCAACTGAATATTATAGAAAAACCAACTATCGCCATGTCCATTTTATTTTACCCATATCATGCAGCCCTATATGCACACATTTTTTGTGGTTTATTTCAGCTAGAGTGTTTGTTTGTCTGGTGATCTCTCCTCACTTTTGTGAAGTTGTAGTTTTTGTGGTGAAGAAGGTCTTTCGTTTCTCTTGTCCTCTTGCACTGCACATATAGAGCAGCAATTTAATGACATAATGTTCAGACCCTCAACACACACCGCATTCGTTTGATGCTTTATACTCACGTCTTGTCTTTGTTCGATTGTTTATCACAGGAGAAGGAATTGGAGGCCAGTAAGAAGGAAAAAGTCAAAGAGGTCAAGCTGGAGGCAGAGGTTAAGATGCTAAAGAAGGAAAACGAGGCCCTCCGAAGGCACATTGCTGTGCTGCAGGCTGAGGTTTATGGAGCCAGACTGGCAGCCAAATACCTGGATAAGGAGCTGGCTGGACGGTAATCGACAATAGTTCATCTGTTTGGAGCATTATGTGGGTTTTGTGTGCTGATGTCTTCCATATGGGAAGCCAATGATGTTGGCCTTTTAAACCCCAAATAGGGCTGTACAATATGACGATATCTCAAGGATGATCAGAAGAAAGGGACAGCACCTGAGTCAATATAAAAACAATTAATTGATAGAACTTTCAGAAATGGTACTATATAATGAACATATTATATACCGTTATCAGGATATTAGATAAGTTCTTTTGTTACATGAGATTTTTGTCATATTGGCCAGGCCTAACCTGAATACTTTTTGTGTTTTATTTAGGGTACAGCAGATCCAGTTGCTTGGGCGAGACATGAAAGGACCAGCTCATGATAAACTGTGGAACCAGCTTGAAGCAGAGATTCACCTGCACCGCCACAAAACAGTGATTCGAGCCTGCAGGGGGCGCAACGATCCCAAGAAACCCTTGCCATCACCTGTAGGCCATGTAAGAGCACATTTAGTTAATGCACTTTAATTTAGTGATATTAAAAACAAAATATTAACTAGGTTACTTTGGGTATATGAACCCTTTTTCCATTTTCGTGTTTCTTAGCAGCAGAAGTAATAGGAGAGTACAACAAATACTTTTTAAACAAATACATTTGTTTGCTCAAATAATGAAATAAAAGCAGACAAAAGAGAGAACGTCAAATTTACTGTCCCGCCTATAGATCAGGGTCCCCGCGGGTCCTTAAAAAGTCTTAAAATGTCTTAAATAAAATTTTCGATTTTTAAGGTCTGAAAATGTCTTAAATTCTGTAATTTTCCATAAGGAGGTCTTAAATTTCATGTGGGATCTTAAATATCATGTCCGACTCGTCTTATGGCGGCAAATCAATGCCAATATAAATCGAGCGCAGCGGTGATGTTTGCGCGTGAGGAGAAGTGAACCGTGAGCAGATTACAGGTCTACACGCGAGAAAATTACAGCTCGCGAGCGCACAGGGGATCTTCACGCGCGCGCTCAACTGATCCAGCGCGAGAAAACAAGTCCCGCGCGTGCACATTATCATCTGTGCGCACGATGTACGCTCTCGCGAGCGAGGTCATGCCTACAGCGCGCGCGCGATCAGTTCTCTCCGCTCGCTCGCTGGTTCTTCTCTGCTCGCGCGAAACAGTTTAGATTTTTGTGAGTCCTAGGGCGGGACTTGGTTTTCTTGTTATCTCTAACGCTATTGGCTACTCTACCTTTCCAGAAGTTAGCCGGGATTGGACGCAGGTAAGCTAGTTTCCCCGTTAAATAAAATTATATAGGAAATCTTATCATAATGTCACAGTGTGAAACATAGACTTACTTTCTCAGTAATAATAGGTGGAGACTTACTTTCAATAATGAGATATTTTTTGTAATAATTAATCTCATAATAATGCCTATTCTTACCATCATGACCAAGTCATATAATGACATATCAAAATAATGAGATATATTTCTGTAACAAACTTTATTACTTGGGAGAGAAAGAGAGAGTTATACCATGTGGCAAAAGATCTCTCCATTAAACAGAAATTGGGGAAAATATACATGGGCTATTAAATCAGGACGAATAATTCAGACTTTAAATGTGTTTTGAACCATTTGATGAAGTTTAGCACCTACATTTAAACTGAACTCAAGCCAAACGTGTTCAAATTTACAAAAATCTTTTTTTTTTTCTAAGATTCATTGTCCTTGACTCATTTTCTGTGAAGAACAAGTCAGAATAAATTAGATGGACAATAGTATACAAAATAGGCTATACATGCATGCAGTGCATAAAGTACAAAGGTTTATAGTAAATATATTGCCATTAGTCTGTTATTCCACTATACAGTTAAAGTCAGAATTATTAGCTTGCCTGAATTAATAGCCCCCTGTTTATTTTTATCCTAATTTTTATTTAACGGAGAGAAGATTTTTTTCAACACATTTCTAAACATTATAGTTTTAATAACTCATTTCTAATAACTGATTTATTTTATCTTTGCCATGATGACAGTAAATAATATTAGACTAGATATTCTTCAAGACACTTCTATACAGCTTAAAGTGACATTTAAAGGCTTAACTAGGTTAACTAGGCAGGGTAATTGGGCAAGTTATTGTATAACGATGGTTTGTTCTGTAGACTTTCGAAAAAAATAAATAGGTTAAAGAGGGTAATAATATGGACCTTAAAATGGGTTTTAAAAATTTAAAACAGCTTTTATTCTTGCCGAAATAAAACAAGAAAAAAGTGGGCTACTAATTTTGACTTCAACTGCATATGTGACCTTTAAGATGTGGGCCTGTCGTATAGAAAGTAGTATTTGTATGCCTCTGAAGTGGAATGATGTAATGGATAGTGAGTAAAGCCAAACGAAGATTGTAGAAATTAAATTGTTGCTCAATAGGTGGCGATAAACACCCATCTGAATGTCTGTCACTGTATTTTTTATGTTTAATTGGGCTAATCATTTTTGATTGAAGTCTTTATATGCAGGTTATTCAATCATTAACTAAAAATGAGATTGAAAAATATATATAATATATATAGATATATATATATTTTACACTGATCTATATTACAAACAATGTTAACAATTATCTATAAAGATAAATTAATTATAATTATCTATAAAGATCTAAAACGCAAATAAACTCTTCTGAAGACAATATTTCCTAGAAAGATCATCCCCAAGTGTAATAATGAGCACTGCTGTTGTGGTTAATAATGAAGTAAAATACAAAAAACCAGACAAGTGCTGCACGGACAAATCAAATGGGTTCAGAAAGTCATGTTACAAGAATGCAAGTCATTATTTTGGATATTATTTGACTGTTTCTCGAGATTGAATCCTCATAAAGTTCATAAAGTTCTCAGAAAGTTTCTTATGATTATGACTTGCAAATTGTATATATATTTAACGGCATGATCTTTTAACTTGCGTCCAATCCCGGCTAACTTCCGGAAAGGCACAGTAGCCAATAGCGTTAGAGATAACAAGTAAACCAAGTAATCTGCTCACGGTTCACTTCTCCTCGCGCGCAAACATCACCGCTGCGCTCGATTTATATTGCCATTGATTTGCCGCCATAGATTTGCCGCCATACTTCACCACATCATTCTGTGTTCACACTGAACATTTTCCTGTTTTTTTTTTTTTTTAGGTAAAGTCTTAAATTTTCAT